TTTATTATCCTCTCAATTATCTGTAGACTTGTAATTAAAGGAGCTTTTGGTATGCAGTAATGGAATGAGGGAAGATGGGCATCACAAAGCCTATGTTATTAATGGACATTGGCATTTTAAGTTATTTAATTTTTCATTAGAAATAATTTATTTTAATTTTAGTATGAAGTATTCTTTTTAAGGAATATGAAGTACTTTTATCAAGAAATTTAATTTAACTTTATACGGTTCATTAAGCCGTATGACAAGCAAGGGCGACTGTGAGGATTTCCAATTCCAAGGGTGTTGATTTTTTTTGTAGTTGGAGTAGGATTTTATCAATCCCTAATTATTCTTTTTCACGAACCAAATATTTAGTTTACTTGTTCGTTCAGTTAGCTTTATGGAGTCGAAATTCAAGGATGATTCTATATGTTGGTTAAAATTCCAAAAGGATTGGACTCTCTCTTCAATAATGTGCATTTACATATGTATGATACATTTCCCATTGAAGTTAAACTATAAACCTTATTTCTGACCGCACATATTTCTTTCACTACTGTTTGTTTGATCTTTTAAGTTATATGTTCTCTGTTTTGTGTTTTCTTATTCTTCGTGTCTGCAGGAATTTCACCGTAAGTTTTACCACCCAGGGAATGCTAGGATCTGGTTTTATGGAGATGATAATCCAGTTGAACGTCTACGCGTCCTCAAAGGTAATTAATAGAAAATAATATTAATATTTTCTTTTTAAAATAAAGGCAATTAACTTTTGTTGTTTTTATTTTAATGTAGTACTTGAAACTCATAGGTTTTTTATGAAGTGCAAACTTGTAGTTGAAATATAATAAGATATATTATGCCATGTAAGGTAAGTCATGGGACCTCATGCATGTTTGTGTGTCATGTGCATAGGGATACTTTCCCGCTATGTTATGATGGTACGGATGCGTATGTTCGATATTATGCTCGCTATGATATCATGTAGGCCTTTTCTTTTTTGTGGCGTCCGGTGACGTGTAATACGTTGTGCCTGACCAAGTCAGGCCCAAGGGGTTCGTATACGAGCCCACCTGGTAGACCCATGTATATGTATGTAGGCCGTGTGTGGAGAAGTACTACACATTCACCCTGCCCGAATAAAGCAAGGGCCTAAGGCCATGTAAAGTGAATGAAAGATAGGTCACACTCATGTTTAACATGTGTTTTGCACGTGGTTTGCATGTGTTTTGTATGTTTATTGTATGCCTAACCCCAACAGCGGGATGACTTACTGAGTATTTCATAAAATACTCGAGCCAGGTGCTACCCTATTTTTCATGTAAAGGCAAGGCTCCCATGCACGGTTGACGGTGGACGTTGTGAAGACCATGGAAGTTGGAATGGGGGCTTTATAGGATAGTAGATGTTTCTGTTGAGTTTTATCTTGAATAATAAATGTTTGCATTTAAGAGGGGTGACCCATAAACTTTCAGGGGAATTTTCAATGACCCACGGTGGCACAGTTGTGGCTGAGTTCTATAGAGACCATGTTCGGGCTTGACTAACTGCCCTGAAGATCGAAAAGTGGAGTGCGCAGCGTTCATGCTGCGTGACGATGCTCAACTGTGGTGGCGTTCCACCCATGAGATTATTTGACCCAGAGGAGGTGTAATCTCGTGTGCAGAATTCAAAGAGGCTTTTGCTGAGGCGTACTACCCAGAGGACGTTTGAATCCGCAAACATCAAGAGTTCACTCATCTGAGTCAGAGGGGGCGTTCAGTTACTACTTACGCCAGGGAGTTTTCCAGGTTGAAATGCTTCACCCCGAAATTGGTGGACATTGACTACAGGACAACTCGGCGGTCTGTGCTGGGGTAAGACAGTAAGATCCACAATATTGTTGAGGCGATAACGCCTACTACCTATGCTGCCGCCCTGAGAGCAGCAAGGGCCATGGAGGGAACCAATAGACCTAGTGAATCTCGTCCATCGACAAAGAGACAAAAACGACGTCGTGATCAGGATGACCGTCGTGATTTGTCTCCATCACCGCTTCCAAGACGACCAGATAGACGACGCCGCGATTCTAGGTGGGGCCAGCAAAGAAGGGAAAGCAGATCAGACGACAGACACAAGTGTAACAAGTGTGGAAAGAATCATTGGGTTAGTGTTTGGCTCGCTTTGGAACCTGCTTTTGATGTGGGAAGGAAGGTCACTTGTCTAAGGACTGTCCGGGAGGTTGCACCAATGATGCCGGAAGTCAGAATAGGCCATTACGCATAGCGGATGGCCCCACTCAGAACCGTCCTCTAGCAAGGGCTTATGCCTCTACTAGCAAGGATACTGAAAACCCTGATGTGGCGCTGACAGGTACACTATCTATTCTTGGTCACCTTGATTTGACATTGTTTGTCTCGGGATCTACGCATTCTTTTATTTGTTTTTGTTAGTCAAGCAAAAAATTGGGTTAGAACCATTGTGACAATTTTTTGCTTGATTAACCCAATTTTAAACCCGGAGTGCCTACGAAGAAATCATGCAACAAAGGTTCTAACATAATTTTTGCTTGACTAACAAAACAACATCATTTTTGTCTGACTAACAAAACAACATTTGTAGAAATAAAAGAAAATAAAAGAATGCGAAGATCCTGAGTCAAACAATGTCAAAACAAGGTAACCAAGAACAAATAGTGTACCTGTCACCACCGCGTCAAGGTTTTCAGTATCCTTGCTGGTAGAGGCATAAGCCCTTATTGGAGGACGGTTCTGAGTGGGGCCATCCGCTATGCATAATGGCCTATGCTGACTTCCAGCGTCATTAGTGCGACCTCTCGGACAGTCCTTGGACAAGTGACCTTCCTTCCCACATCGAAAGTAGGCTCCAGAGCGAGCCAAATACCGACCCCGATGATTCTTCCCACACTTGTTACACTTGGGCCTATCGTCTGATCTGCTTTCCCTTCTCTGCTAACTCTGCCTAGAATTGCAGCGCTATCTATCTGGTCGTCTTGGTGACGGTGATGGAGACGAATCACGACGGTCATCCTGATCACAACGTCGTTTCTGTCCCTCTGTCGATGGACGAGATTCACTAGGTCTATCGGTTCCCTCCATGACCTTTGCTGCTCTCAGGGCGGCAGCATAAGTAGTACGCGCTATCGCCTCAACAGTATTGCAGATCTTCCTGTCTAACCCCAGCACAAACCGCCGAGCTGTCCTGTAGTCAGTGTCCACCAATTTTGGGGTGAAGCATTTCAACTTGGAAAACTCCCTGGCGTAAGCAATAACCGAATGCCCCCTATAACTCAAATGGGTGAACTCTTGATGTTTGCAGATTCGAACGTCCTTTAGGTAGTACGTCTCAACAAAAACCTCTTTGAATTCTGCACACAAGATTACACCTCCTCTAGGTCAAATAATCTCATGGGTGGAACGCCACCACAGTTGAACATCGTCAGGCAGCATGAACGCTGCACACTCCACTTTTCGATCTTCAGGGCAGTTAGTCAAGCCCGAACACGATCTCTATAGAACTCAGCCACAACTGTGCCACCGTGGGTCATCGGAAGTTCCCCTAAAAGTTTGTGGGTCTCCCCTCTTGAAATCACGCAAGCACCTAGCTTCCCTAGTAGATGATGAGTCATTAGCAGTTAGGTTTCGTATAACAATTTGCAATGCGTCCACCAAGCAGCTGTCGAGTCTTGTGCGGCTTGAGGTATCGCTGGTGGCGGGAATGGCATAGCTACATCAGGCTCTTCCACGGAGTCCTCGCGCTCTGGACCTTTTCCTCTTCTACCCCTAAAGGGGGTCGTCCCCTAATCCTCCTCCTCGAGTTCTAGGTGGCATATCTCTACAAAGCACGTAACTGCTAAGTCACATACTTGTCTATTAAGTTCTATAACATTTATAACAATACAAGCATAAAATGCATACAGTCATAGCTTTAACATAGTCATCCCATAGTACATGTCATATCATGAATCCTGCCTAACGCTTAAAATATGAACATCACGTCATACTTTACCAAGCACAAGTTAACCTACAACATACACCAACGACCAAATAATTTTAATTCTTAACCAGGCTTACCTGACGGTAACGGTGCATTTACTAGAGGATCATGGAAGTACGTTGGACCTACATCGTAAGCCAGTCTACAAGATCTATAACCTAGGGCTCTGATACCAACTGTAATGCCCCTAATTTTTCTTAACCTAATTAGTGACCTTGCCTTGCATGCATAAGACATAATGCAGAAGCTCATATAAAATAACAGCATGGTCTTACATAAGTAGTTCAAAACACGAAATTCAACCTAACTCAGGAAATCATTCGACAACTAAAATTAGAGAAATTAAATGCAAACGTTTATTATTCAAGATAAAACTCAACAAAAACATCTATTGTCCTATAAAGCCCTCATCATTCCAACTTCCATGGTCTTCACAATGTTCACCGTCAACCATGCATGGGAGACTTGCCTTTACCTGAAAAATAGGGTAGCACGTGGTTTGAGTATTTTATGAAATACTCAGTAAGTCACCCCACTATTGGGGTTAGACATACCACATACAAAACACATGCAAAACCCACTGTTGGGGTTAGACATACAACACACATGCAAAACATGAGTGGGACCTGTCTTCCATTCACTTTACATGGCCTTAGGCCCTTGCTTTATCCGGGTAAGGTGGATGTATAGTACTTCTCCATACACGGCCCACGTACGTATACATGGACCCACCAGGCGGGCTCGTATATGAACCCCCTGGGCCTGCCTTGGTCAGGCACAACGTATTACACATCATCGGACGCCACGGGAAAGAAAAGACCTGCATGATATCATAGCGAGCATAGTATTGAACGTACGCGTCCGTACCATCATAACATAACGGGGAAGTATCCCTCTGCACATGACACACAAACATGCATGAGGTCCCATGACTTATGAAATGTGATGACTTAGATGACTTAGTTAAGCAATGTGTATGCATAGCAATGTTCTTCAGTCCATCACATTCATAGCATATCAATTCATTTCATGGAAACAGTGTAATAGGTTGCATGCATTACGTAGTAAACAATTCATGACAATACAAGAACACATAGGCATGACATAACATCGACATTTCATAACAAATAGGGTGCATGCAAAGGCCATAGGGCATGCACCATCATACATACAGTAAACTAACTACAACAGTAAAGTCGCTTACCTCGTTGGCCTGGGTCGAAATTTACTCACGATAAGCTAACTCCAATGCCTAACTACTTCCTATAAAAACCACATTATATGCTTAGAGCCTTTTTATAACGTAACCCAGCTAAACCTTACCTTTAATTATCAAAGTAAGCCCCTAACGCAATCTGTTTTGGCAATTAGGAGTTACACTGACCTCAAATGACTAATACACTGACCTCAGATGGCTAAAACAAGGGCAGGAATGGCTTCAGAAGGGCCGAAAACCTAGGAATCGGTATATTATACATATACCGAGCCGCCAAGCCGAGCCGCAGGATTTGGCGAAGCCGAGGGTACCGAGCTGACAAGCCGAAGGTACAGCTAAGGCGCATGTCTTCTAGGTGCGGATTTTGTATCCATTGGTCTTGGGCCGAACGTAAATGCAGCCCGCAGTCTTCGTCTGGAATGTGGGCTGGGACAGAGGCTGAAACAAAGGGCTGTGGGGTTGGCTGTGCATGTTCGCGGGTATACGAGGGAACCCGACCCGCAATCTGTCACTTCGTCTTCCTTACTCGAGAACCCTGAAGAAACCATAATCGTGAACTCCCTTTTCCGTTTACCGACGAGACCGCCGCCCTCACGTTCGTTCTTGCTATCATTTTGTTTGTCCCTCCTTGTTATGCAACACCACGACGTTAGTTCACTCTTACCCAATAAAACTCACTGAAAACTCAAAGCCTCCCGACGTTTTTCGATTTCTCACTTCAAACCCTTCTGTCTTTCTCTCACAGGCGCACGACGACAATCAAAGGAAAGAGCGACTATTTAGATACCCTAGGGTTTAAGTGTGGGGAACTCAAGGAAAATAATACATTTCTATTAACAAAGAAATGCCTCGCCGAAAATCACACAATTTCGCATCATCGAGTATATATATATATATATATATATATATATATATATATTTTTTGAAACACATATCGTTATTGTTATTGTTGACACTTTTTCCTTTAAATATTTCGTGCTTCCAATAAATCGCCAAAAAGCATGATTATTTCTTTCCTTTAATGAAATCTAGTTTTTATTTTTAAAAAGTGCGTAAACATAGTGCGATACCTACATGCATTCATACACACAAAGCTCTCATTAATTTGAAACAATAACACAATATTTTTTAAAGAAAATTCATTTTCATTCATTCATGTTGATCTTTTCTTATTGTTTTTTTTCCTTAATGATACTTTATCTTGTCTAATGACATGATAATTTTTCTTGGTTAGATTGCAATATTAATCTTATGTATTAACCTTACTTTTGATATGGTCCTAATGTTTCTCATTTTCATATGTATAATTTGACTAAAATTTATTAGACGTCCTTGCCGTTTTGAGGAATAAAGTAGATCCAATGTGACAAGGTTTTCTTTTTCCTTTTTTTTTTTAGTATGTGACACTAACTGATATTTTTTTAAGTTCGACATGTCATATTAATTGATAAACATGAATTTGGGTCGAGTTTTAATGCCTATTTTGATTGAGATGCATTAAGCGGGCTTGGGCTAATTGTGTTTTGGACCTTTAGGAATGCAATCACTGTTAATTTGTTACAATGGATGTTTACTACTCTTTATTAATGGAAAGAGTGTCCATTAAGAAGTAGGGGAACTATAAATTAAAACTAAGGTTAACGTGGATGCTGTATTTGACCCTTTTTTTTGTTATTGGATTTGTATTTTATCAAGCTCTGACTAGTTTAGTGACCTCTCTGCTTCCATCACAGAATATCTAGATATGTTTGATGCAAGTCCAGTTTCCAACCAGTCTAAGATTGAGCAACAAAGGCTATTCTCAGAGCCGGTTAGGATTGTTGAGAAGTATCCTTCTGGTGATGGAGGTGATTTGAAGAAAATGCATATGGTCTGCGTTAATTGGTTACTTTCCGAAAAGCCCTTGGACTTGGAAACTGAGCTTGCCCTTGGGTTTTTGGACCATCTTATGCTGGGAACTCCTGCTTCTCCCATGAGGAAAATCTTACTGGAGAGTGGTCTAGGAGATGCCATTGTTGGTGGTGGGATTGAAGATGAGCTCTTACAACCACAGTTTAGTCTTGGATTGAAGGGTGTTTTGGATGATGACATTCCAAAAGTAGAAGAATTAATTCTAAGTACCTTTAAGAAATTAGCAGAGGAAGGTTTCGACAATGATGCGGTAGAGGCCTCCATGAATACCATTGAGTTTTCCCTGCGGGAAAATAACACTGGATCTTTCCCTCGAGGCTTGTCACTTATGCTTCGATCCGTTGTAAGCTTATAGCCATCTCTGTTTATTTCCTATTTTAATCATCAAATTCATTTTTGAAGTTTGTTGGTTTATAATTCTTTTAAACTAAAATTAACAGGGTAAATGGATATATGATATGGATCCGTTTGGACCGTTGAAGTACGAAGAGCCTCTGAAGGCCTTGAAAGCCAGAATAGCTGCGGAAGGACCCCAAGCGGTTTTTTCTCCGTTGATAGAGAAATTCATCTTGAACAACGCTCATCGAGTAACTATCGAGATGCAGGTAAAATCTACTCGATTTTTTCCCTGAGAATTTAATTTGTTATTTTGTTACATTTGATTTTATTAATTTATATTGTGCCCCTCCTTTGACAGCCTGATCCAGAGAAAACTTCTCGTGATGAAGCAGCTGAAAAAGAAATCTTGCAGAAAGTTAAAGAAAGCATGACTGAAGAAGATCTTGCTGAACTGGCACGTGCTACACAGGAATTACGGCTGAAGCAGGAAACACCGGATCCACCAGAAGCTTTAAAATGTGTTCCATGCCTTTGCCTTGAAGATATTCCTAAAGAACCTATTCGTGTTCCAACTGAGGTGACCACATCGATCCATATTTGAGTTCAGTGGATAATCTGCATTATGGTTTAGTTTCTAATCTCTTTGTCTTTAATATAATCTTACCTGTAGATTGGGAATGTCAATGGAGTAACCGTTTTACAACATGAACTCTTCACAAATGACGTTCTTTATTCTGAAGCTGTTTTTGATATGAGTTCACTGAAGCAGGAGCTTCTTCCTTTGGTACCTTTATTTTGGTAAGCGGTGGAACTTCATTAGTTTGTTTGTCATTGCTGATAGCTTAAATTTTCGGGCATGGGGAAAGTAATCAGTGTCTTATCTAATAGATTATGCTCGAATTGACCAATAACTTTTCATTTGCATTTCTAAATTTGAATATCACAAAAGGTCAATGACTAAAGAGTTCGTGGGTGCATCCTCAAAGTTGCAATTATTAATTTATGAGATCACTTCAGGGAATTCAAAGGGCAGATGTGAGAAACATTATTTAGGCCTTTTTAGGGCATTTTGCTAGAAGATGCTGCACAAAGAGATCACCCAAAGTTTGTGTAGCAAGTATAAATTATCTTGCTCATCTTTCTTAATTTTCAAAGAGGTACATGTGTTTTTTATAATAAAGAAAGACTAACTAAGGATTTACATAGATATAAGGTCATTCCTTCAACACTCCCCCCAAGCTGTGGAATAGATATCATAGATTCATTCTTAACTTGGACTGGATAGGATTATGTGCAATATTGATCCCACGACTTTGATGTCAAGACACGACTTCAATGGTAGTTATGTAGTCTCTAAATAAATTTTGTTAAGGTGGAAGATCAGTAGTTATGAAGGCTCTGAATAAATTTGGTCAAGGTGGTAGATCGGTAGCTATGAAAGGCTACACCGATTAATCACACCTCCCAAAATAGAATGACTCTTATACCATGTTACTAGTGTAAATTATCTTGCTCACACTTCTTGATTTTTAGAGAGATATATGTGCCTTTTATAATAAAGAAAGGCTAATTAAATCCCTAGATATTAGGTAACAATATAGATATAACCAAGTCACAAATTATCTTTCGGTTGTGAATTGTCTAATAGATGATATCAATCATTTAAGTATAGCTGGTCATGAGCATTTGTTAGAATTTTGGAGTGGTTTAATCCGAATCACAACGTTCCTGTACCATTCTATGGAGTATTATGTTTTTGACCTCCAAATGTTCTTTGTCAGTCAATCATTGTTAGAGATGGGCACAAAAGACTTGAGTTTTGTGCAACTTAATCAGTTAATTGGAAGAAAAACTGGTGGGATATCAGTTTATCCATTTACATCATCTATACGTGGCGAGGACAAGGCATGTACTCATATGATTGTCAGAGGCAAGGCTATGTCAGGGTGCGCTGAAGACTTATTCAACCTGGTATGTTAATATGACTTCAAAACATGTGTGGAATGGCATCTGCAAACAAATTTGTCCTTTTATTTTACATTTCAACAGTGTGCAGTTTTTTACTATGTTGGAGTTGAGCTATTTTTCTTTACTATTGGTTTTTAATTTACAATTCAAGGTGAGCTGCGTCCTGATAATGAGTTCATTTCTTTCTATGATGTAGATGAACTGCATTCTTCAAGAAGTACAGTTTACAGATCAGCAACGTTTTAAACAGTTCGTATCTCAGAGCAAATCTGAAATGGAGGTACATAAATAAATGAATGATTAAAATGCCCATCCCGACAATTGTGAAATTTAAAGTATAATGTATATATGATATCTATCAGAATCGGTTAAGAGGTAGCGGTCATGCAATTGCTGCTGCTAGGATGGATGCAAAATTGAACAGTGCAGGGTGGATCTCTGAACAAATGGCTGGTCTCAGGTTTGGATTCCGTCTTCTTGGTGGCTATACTGTTGAAATGCCTGCCTCTCGTGCGTAAAGCTAAATGATTTCAACCTCCTGTTCTTGTTTTGTTCATTGTATATAGTTATCTGGAATTCCTACAAACTCTTGAAGAGAAAGTTGATCAAAACTGGGCTGAAATTTCTTCATCACTTGAGGAAATCCGCCAATCCTTACTTTCAAGGAAAAATTGCCTCGTCAACATTACTGCTGATGGAAAAAATCTCATAAAATCGGAGAAGTTCATTGGAAAATTTCTTGATTTGCTTCCTAACCAGCCTCTCATTCCAAGAAGCACTTGGAATGCCCGGCTTTCTTCAGATAATGAAGCCATTGTGGTACCAACTCAGGTTAGAGCACGCTTATATCAATTTTTGCACATTTTATTCCTCAAACTATTTCTTAATAGCTACCTCCTCCAGGTTAATTATGTTGGAAAAGCAGCTAACATATATGAAACGGGCTATGAACTTAATGGAAGTGCCTATGTTATAAGAAAGTTCATTAGTAATACTTGGCTGTGGGATCGTGTTAGAGTAAGTGGAGGTGCTTATGGAGGGTTTTGTGATTTTGATACTC